GGTAATTAATTCACTGTGTCACCATAATCTTTACATTCTCAACAACATTTACTGAGAGAAGAAATGATGATATAAAATCAGTCTGGAGAACATGTAAAGAAGGAGCTGCAGGGCTCTGCAGCATTCTGGGGACATCGTACCTCAGGGACATCCCCGCTCTCCGAGGGCTCAGGCTCCAAGTCCTCGCTGATGTGCCTACGGGAGCGGAAGCGCCGGTGCGCTGCCTCCTGGTTGATCTGTCTGATGTTATTGTCCGACTCAGAGGACACGTCCCTGAGCACGCAGGAAAGGGGGAAGGAGAAGAAGAGGAGAAGAAGTGGTTGAGATGGGGCCCTTCACGACAGTCCAGTGTCACAGAGGGCCAGATGCCCACTCAAGTGTGAGCATAAAACACTGACTAGCTGGTCATCCAATGTGAGAATTCTCCCACCGTATCACAGCTGAAGTATAGGTTAAGGTTCACTGCAATCAAATAAATGCAGTTATAAAATGCATTACACCATTTTGAGTATCTTTCAGGCATATATTTCAAAATATACCTTAGTGTTAAATAAAAAACAGAAATCAAAGTCCTCCACCCATGTGCCACAGTGACAAATCAGGCCTCTGGAAAGCGAGTTCACACAGCAGCTGGGCAGTCCCAATCCTTCTAGAAGGCCGGCAACCACAAGGCAGCTACTTTTGGTCACCAGCAATTTGACCAAAGACTACAAAAGGTAGAAATTCAAAGCTGCCATCTACAGGGAAGTACATCTGATCCAACGTGAATTCTTTTCAGCTGCTTTCTAGCTCATTTTGACAGAATCGCAAAATTGTGACACTGCATTTCTCCTCTTTATCCTACTTTAAAAATCCTAGTAACTCTCAAGTCAGCTGGGATCTGACGACCACCACAACATCACATCGTATTTTTTTGTCATGTGATGCTCTCGATTCAGGATCTAAAAGTTTTGATTCAATTTTGAAAACTTTTTTGGGCTGGGCATGCTGACTCACACCTATAATCCCAACACTTCGGGAGGCCAGGGTGGGTGAATCACTTGAGGTCAGGAGTTCAAGACGTACCTGGCCAACACGGTGAAACCCCATCTCTACGAAAAATACGAAAATTAGCCAGGTGTGGTGGCATGTGTCTATAGTCCCAGCTACTCAGGAGGCTGAGGCAGGAGAATCACTGAACCCGGGAGGTGGAGGTTGCAGTGAGATGAAATTGCACCACTGCACTCCAGCCAGGGCAGAAGAGTGAGACTCCATCTCAAAACAAAAACAAAAACAAAAACAAACCAACTTTTTTTTTTTTTTGCAGTAAATTAAAGGCAATCATTCTCTGGGGGAAATACTAGTCAGAGGCTTTTACTGTACAAGTTTAAATGCCAAAAAGGTTTTCAGGGAAAATTCTCACAGATCCTTCAATAAGACAGCATATCATGTTAATGAAAACTACTGCACAAGTTAATATCTCAAAAGTTGAAATCTTTATTTCAGATTAACTGAAATATAGTACTTATCAAGAACACTCACTATAGACTCCTTCTAAAACACAAATTTTAACGTTTTCTTACACATTCTGAAATGAACTTATGCCATGTCCCAATAAAGAGCCTGCTAGCAGAGGGGTGGAAACTTTCCTTAACTAACTTTCCTCTTGCCTTCTGGAAGTCATGTTCATTGGAAGGAGGCACTCCTCAGGTTCCACCAAGTTCTGCTGTGTCCTTCCTGGCTCAGCCCCTCCCTTTGGCATTGCTGCCTTCTCTGATGGGGCAGCTATGCCTCAGCCTTCTCCCAAAACTACATGTGAACCTGAACCTGGATTAAGAGCTGCATGTTTTGGCCAGGTGCAGTGGCTCACACCTGTAATCCCAGTACTTTGGGAGGCTGAGACAGGCGGATCACCTAAGGTCAGGAGTTTGAGGACAGCTTGACGAACACGGTGAAACGCCGTCTCTACAAAAATACAAAAATTAGCTGGGCACGGTGGTAGGTGCCTGTAACTCCAGCTACTCAGGAGGCTGAGGCAGGAGAATCACCTGGAGGTTGTAGTGAGCCGAGATGGTGCCAACCACACTCCAGCCCGGGCAACAGAGTGAGACTCTGTCTTAAACAAACAACAGAAAAAGAACTGCATTTTTCCCGTGTTGCTCTAGATTAGTGAAGAGACAGCAAGTTATACCTTTCGTTTTAGTTTCTGAGACACTGCCACCCAAGATGGTTTCTCTTTTAAACTACTTTATTAAAGTCTAATCAACACATTAAAAAGTTGTTCATGTTCAATGTATATCTCTTGATGAGCACGGGGTTATGTGTATATATCTCTGGAACCATAAAAAAATAGTATGTATTAAAAAATGTATGAAGTGTTTTCTCAAGAATTCCCTCATTAGTTTCACAACTCTGTGAGGCAGAGAAAGTAGCAGTTATCTCCATTTGTCCCCAAAATACAGCCTCCAATCTGCATGATCCTTATTTATCAATTTCAACATTTTCCCATATATGTATTAGCTGTCAGGATTTTTTCCTGTGTGAGTTGCTCCTGGACACTTTTCTGCAGCGGTCACATAAGAAGCTACCTTTCCAGGTACTCCTTTCTCATGCTATTGAACAAAGGCAGATAATGGTGCTTTGCTTAGTATATTGCTAGTAAGATTCTTCCGGTCACTACATGTAACCAAGTCCAAGGTGGGTCCAAATTCATTTTTACATTTTAGCTACAATGGCTCACAACAATTCTAATAACTATGGTAATTAATCAAAAGGAAATAGTAACCAATTATATATATATATATATATATATATATATATATATATATATGAATCAACCAAACTATTTACAAGGGAACAATTTTTAACAAAAGACAGTTCAGCATTATCCAGCTGCTCTGATATTTTTGCTGTCCTGAGCTAATGCCCACGCTGGGTAGTCCAAAGCTGATCAAGAACAGCTGATATTCACAAGAACCCACTTGGGGGCTCAGGAAAGACAGGCCATTCACTGTTTTCAGATTCGGCAAGCGTTCTCTCTAAATTAAACAAAACCTAGAGCAGAAAACTTGGCCACCCTCCCACCCACAGTCATATATAGAGTATCTTTGCAATTTCTAAAGATAAAAGGTTTTTAAGAACATGATACATCATGCCACTTGTTGTCTAAAATGTATCATTAGCCAATTTCTTTCAGAGTTCCAGTAGATAAGAAAATTATACTACCCAATAGACTTGCTTTTATTATGTACTGAAAGTTACATAGTTCACTGACAATTTCTTCCTTGTCTTGGCTGCTAGGCAGCTCATAATTTCGAAGATAAAATTCCTTTTCCTTAAGGCTTTGTTTTTGCCCTTTAATGTATATCAACAGATTTAGGTCTTGCTGTATAAACTGATTTAAAAACAAGCTGCTACAAAACCATTTTTAAAGTCCATGAGTTTTAACCAGAGTTTATTTACCATCAATTAAACCACAAATTGCTGAGGGAACAAAACAGGAATGGTTTACTGCATCCCTGAGGCTGGTGAGGGATTACAATAGACAGTAATTACTAATTCTGATTTTGCAACTCTCCCATGTGTGTTTTATTATATTAAGGGGGTAAAATTTCCTTATAAAATTTTTTTTGGAGAAGGTTTTCAAATAAACTCATTGAAGAGAGTAAAAATCCAAAAGCTTAAAGAAAACAGAAAACTGCAGAGCCAATTTGCTTGCTGTTCTATTCTGGGTCAGTTGGGAGAGAAAGGAGAAGAAGAACAATATAATCAACAAATGTAAGGTAAGCCTAAGAAAAACAACCTCTCCTTTGTATTTCAGGAATTGACATGAAAAAAGACACAGAAAATAAACCAGCTCATCTTGAAAACAGCAGCATGTGATTCAGAGGCAATCACTTACAAATATACAAGTTCTGACTGCTCTCGCGTGCTTTATGTAAACGGAGAGGAATCTCATACCACACCACCATCTGCTCCTACTGGCATATGATTTATTTCCCAGCCTTGTCCCAGAGGGCTGCCATGTTTGTCCCTAGCTGTGCAGTGCATGCGCACGTGTTCCCGACCATCGCATGGTACTCACATCAGGCTTGGTCGGTGCCACTGAGTGGTCCGGTTGTTGTGGTTGACATAGTAAGTTCGGCCTAAATTGTCCACTTTCTCTTCCCACCCGGGGGGCAGAGGAGGAGGAGGGAGTTCCTCTTGGTGCTGAGAAGCTGAGTCATTTGAGTCAACAACTTCCCATCCATGCTGCGGAATAAAGTTAAAGGTTGGTTATGAGGTCGGTTCTTCAGCTGTAAGAGGTCATCGCAGAGTGCCCTGTGTGCCTTTCTCCTTGCTCTGGGGCTCTCTGGCTCTCGCCATGGCTTTGTGGCCACATTTGAGTAAATTCCCAAACAAGGGTCCCTCCCCCAAAAAAACTGATTGTAGAAAGGTCTCAAAAATCTTTTGTGTAATGGCCAGTGAATTGTGCTGCCCTCTAAGATGACTATTACAGGGCAACATTGATTTGGATATGCATGGCCAATGACACGACTCACGGCACAACATACTCTTTCCATATCTCATGTTTGTTATTTTGACTCGAGGGCCTCCAAGGCTGTACAAAGCCCTGTCAATGGTGCACGTCACATTACAGCTGTCATCTTTTCAACACCTCCATGAGGTAAAGGGAGCAGGGAAGATGAGCTGCGCTGCACCTGTGTTCTAACGGAAATCATGGCGCAGGGGACCAGAGCCCTGGAGCCCTGCTGCTCCCCAGGGAGGCGGGGCTTTGAGAGAGAAGCCTCTTCTCTGCATCCCAGACTGCAGGAGCCAGAAGTCTGGAAGCTGCTGCCTTCTCCGCAGGCCCTCTGCACTGGCTGTGTCCACACCAACGGGTTTCACGGTACCAAAATTTGAGTTCCACTTTTACAGCACATATTTTAGGCATTAAGTATTCCCTTCCTAACATCCTCTGCTAAAATCACTGGAAAATTAAGTCACTCATTGGTTACTGCAGTTGGAAGGCAAAAGGGTGTACAACATTCCTCGGATTTGAGATGAAAATCTGTTGATGTGCTTATGAAACGTTAACATCCATAAATGTCTGCCACCCACATCAGTCCTCTTCGTGTACATGGAGAGGTGAAGGCGCATAAAGGAAATAATGCCTGGAAATATGACCTCTCAGGCGGAGGGGGTTCGGTTAACTTCTCCATAACACGTTATTCATATATCACATATACGCAACAGCTGCAAACAGATGTGAGCATAAGCCCTAGAGGGGCCTCGTTTAATGGTCACTTTGAGAATATGAGAATTTGTCTAACAAAAAAGCAGTGTCTGAGGTGTGTGCTGAAAAGGTACGACAGGGCGCACAGCATCAGTCTGTGACAAGGCAAATATGGGCGGCTCTGTCCGGCAGGAGAAAAGGGACGTTCTTCTGGCCAGCTCGTTCCAGAATGGGATTTCTGGAGGAGAGTTTTTCTACCGCAGGCCGTTACCTGTGGCCAAATGAGTAAGAAACTTGGGAAAAACTGATTTCCTAGATTCCTTCACCCACTTTGAAGCAACTTCAATGGCTAAAAGGGATTTACAAGGAGTTGCAAGTCCACAGCAAGAACAGAATTCAGTGCATGAGACGTTCACGGAGCTGTGCAGCTAACAGCAGGGAATGGGCGTAGCACTGTCTAGAGGGCAATCCCTTCGAGGACTGGTGTTGTAACATAAGAAGTTCATCTTCAACCAAAACAAATAAATGTACTGGTAGAATATCAATGACCAATGTGTGGACATATGTGTGTTTTTTTCATATTTAAGTCTTCTAAACTTTTATTTCCTTCGATTATAAAGTCTGAAAGTAAAAATGAGTATGATGTTAAGGCAAAGAGCGAGGCCTGACACCTCCACATACCTCCATGTCGTCCCTCTGGTCGCTGTTTTCTTCATCTTGACCCCCGTTTTTTGGCATATAGGCCATTTTCAATCGCAAAAATCCCTTAACTCGAGATTTATGGCTGCACGCATAATGGAAGAAAATTGGTTAGAAGAGGTATGACTTGAAAGGTTACACTTAAAGTCATCTTCAGCAAAAGCCAACCACCACGGCACGCCGAGCAAGCATCCCACCCACATATACCCACAAGCCTCACCTTCTTGGTCTGAGGAGAAAGTCCTTAAATGTATAGGGTCGCTCCATGGTTGGATCTTCTGTCTGTGGGGGAAAACAATACATTAAGTTTTAATATTCCTGATAATTTCATGTTTAGATACACCCAGCTGGATTACAGAGAGTACATTTTGGATTTTAGCATGTGGCACCGCTGAATGTGGTTCTTCACTTGGTACCTGACAGTCGACGGAATGGATCTAGTAGAGATCCACTAGATGTCACCATCTACACCGGGTTTTAGGGACCAACCCCAGCCACAGACAAATGACAAAATTATAGCTGTCATTGCCAAGTATAATTTCTAACTGCAGGGTGTGGCCTTGGTCTCACAGAGCTGATTAACTTCGGAGAACCAGCGGCCACCGGTGCCTTGCTCTATGCCTGTGACTCAAGACACATATGAGTGGAGTAAACAGAGGAACATGCAAGATTTAATCTTTGAGGTCAACTTTATTTTTCACATTAAAATCTCACATCATCAGCCTAGGAGAATTGAAAGACAATCTCCTACACAGGGATCACTCCAGGCAGCAGCACCAATCAGCCTTCTGTTGAAGTTTAGTTCATGAAACTTCTGTTCATTTTTAAAGAAATCAGTGTTCATTTTATTGTGCAAAGTTGGTTGGCCTACCAAAGTGGGAAACTGGAAAAATAAGTGTGACTATTTCATTAATTTTTAGATGCTCTATATGCAATGAAACCTCAGATATCTAGACCCTTTGATGAAATACAATTTCAAATACTTTTGTAGCAAGAGAGATAAACCACAGTCCAATGATTTTCAGGCTTGTGTGTGCGTGCACACAAGTGTACGTCCGTCTGCGCTTCTATTTGAAATATTATCTGTTTATGTCATTCTCTGCCTTAAACTCTCAATGGCTTCCTACTCCTCTCATAATAAACTGAAAATTCTCTCCTATGACCTAGAAGGTCAACTATAATCTGGCTTTCAATTATCTTTTACCTCATTGTGAACCAGTCTCTCTCTTTCTTCCTTGAACTCCCAACCATCCTGGCCTCATCTGCCATGGATGCAAATCATACGTCCTGCAGTAGGGCCCATGCACGGGCAGGTCCCTCTGCTGGACAGCTCTGACTCCAGATGGCACATGGCTGTCTCCACTTTGCCATCCAAGGGTGAGATCCCAGCTCACATCCTCAGAGTTCCCACCATCAGCCGTCTTTATCAACCCCCCAACCTATCATCCTGCTGTATCGTCCTCATATCATAGTCTGCAAGTACCTGTTCATTTGTTGACATATTAGTTTATCAACCATCACTTCCAGAATGTAAGCTCATGGGAAGAGACTTGAATTTGCTCGCCATTGTATCATTGGTGCCAAGAACAATGCCTGGCACCAAGTATGTACTCATGTAAGCACTCAATTCATTTGATCTGTATTAAATTACTGAGGTTCTCAAAACTTACTATCATTGAATGAAGTAAATTATATTTTCTAGACTGTTCTTATGAGGCAGTAACAAACATACATTTTGAAAATATTTTCTACCAAAAGGTTTGTAAACATATATCATTTACAGTGGAAAATTTATTAAGAAAACTACTCTTGGTTTTCCTCTTTTCATTTATTTAACCAACATTTATTTCTTTATTTAGAGACAGGGTCTTGTGCTGTCCAGGCTGGTGCACAGGGGCCCAATCAGCTCACTGCAGCCTCAAGTGATTCTCCTACCTCAGCCTCCCAAGTAGCTGGGACCACAGGTGTGTGCCACTATGCCTGGCTAATATTTTTATTTTTCATAGACATGAGCGTCTTCTTATGTTGCCCAGGCTGGTCTCGAACTCCAGAACTCAAGAGATCCTCTTGCCTTGGCCTCCCAAAGTGCTGGGATTACAGGCACAAGCCACCATGCCCTGCCAACCAACAAATAACTTGAGAGCAAATTATGTGAACACCATGCAGGTACAACATGATATACCAGTCTTTGTGGTTACAATTACAAGGGAAGACACATCATGTCAACAATCCTCTAGAAGCTAAAGCAGAACAGATTCACTGACCCAGAGAGGACACATTCTGTGAGGCTTGGGTTAGAGGGGAAGAGACTGACTCTGACTTGGAAATCAAAATGGTTTTGGATGTGTAGTTAAATATGGGGTGATGGGGAGGCTTTGAGAGGTGGAGAATTGGGACAAGGGATGGTTTAAACACAAGAAACCAAACAGCATGACAAAGCCTACAGGATCACCAGTGGGCATGAGCAGTCTAGGAGCAGCAGAGAGCAAGCAAGAGAGTGAAGAGGGGCAAGTCCTGGGAACCACGGAGCTTAGAGGGACTCTGAACATGAGTCTGTCCATACCCTTTGCAGCTTAAATGATTGATACCACACAGGCCAAGAGGCAGATTTCCCAGGTTTGCGCCCTGGCTTGGTTACTTACAGAGCTGAGTGGCTAAGGGCAAGTTCCTTACCTCTCTGGGCCTCAGTGTCCTCATCTATAAAATGGGACAGTAACCATATCTTACAGGGCTGTTGTGAGGATGAAACCAATCAACTGAGTCGGTTTCTACAAAGTTCTCAAGGGCACCTGGCACACTCAGCAAACACTGGCCATGTTCATTGGACAATTCTACATGTTCATGTCACTTGCCAGTGCTGCCAACTCAACACCAAGCAGTAACAGGCAAGCATTAAAAATGCAAGGTCACCTTCATGGAAATTCTCTAGCCTGAATTGCAAGATAATCTTATAGACAACTACAAGATTCTTCTTGGCATTCATCCAGGTTCCAATCTGACCCTGTTCCCTGGAGCAGAGCCTAGTGGAGACTCCCAGGATGGCACTGAGGGTACTCCTGGTGGAAAGCCATCTTCAACAGACTGCTGTCAACAATGCTATTGGCCACAAAAGCCACAATGCTGCCCTCTGTTCCAGAGTACAAGCATTCAAAAGAAAATCTGGATACACAGTTCTTTCACTTTAAAGAGAGTAGATGCTTTCAGCCTAAGTGCAGTCACTGTGGAGTGGAGTGATATAAAGGATTCTGCAGGCAAATGGAAGGCGAGGGCCCTGCTGTGTCCCTAGACTTGAAACCTCGATGCAACCACCGCAAGCACCTAAGCCTTGGGCGAACCCACCTCATGCCCACACCCTTGACCACACCACAGGCTCACAATGATGCTGGACACCCAGGGTCAGATCCGGCACCGCCAATGAGCTGTTTATTGTCAGGCAAATCCCCTCCCTCTCTGGGCCAGGCTTTTTCTTCTAGAAAATACTGGGAGTGAATCAGTGTCTCTGAAATCCCTCCAAACTCCATAAGTTTGAATTGTGCACTCATGAGAGGGAACCATCACCCTGCTACCAGCCATAAACTCAAGAGGGGTAAAAGGATGTTGATCAGCTGAGTTACCTTCAAGTACAGGCAGGGCATCAAACAATACCACCACTCTGAAAATGCCTCATCTAGGAAAATTAAAATTCCAGAGTGAGCCATAGTTAAGTGGCACATGACTGGGATTTAGAAAAATTTAATGTTTTAAAATAGTTGTCTCTGCCCCACTGCCTTTCCCAGGGATGAAGAAATTTTGTGGCTGGGCAAAGGTGGGATTGCTGGGGGCTCTAGGGGAAGGGGAGGCAGAGCTGACAAGTCAAGAGGCAGGTGCAACAGACAGATGGCTGCCAGAAATCTCTCTGTTAATACAGATCTTGAAGTTCTCTTTATCTCTAAATAATTAATAGATATGAATTATCAAATATATGAACTTTTAGGCAACGATCCGCTGAATTTAACAGACACATGTGAAAATGGTAGTTGAAAAAAGTCAACAATGACAGTCCAGTTACAGCTAAGTTTGCTCTTGGTCTCTCAATGTAAAAGCAAAAGGAGAGCCTGCTGTGTCTCCCAGGCTGGAGTGCAGTGGTACAACCACAGCAATGACCTCCCATGCTCAAGCGATCCTCCCACCTCGGCCTTCCAAATAGTTGGGACAACAGGCATGTGCCACCATGCTGGGTTAATCTTTAAGCTTTTCCACACAGGCAGGGTCTTGCTATGTTGCCCAGGCTGGTCTTGAACTCCTGGACTCAAGTGATCCTCCTGCCTTGGCCTCCCAAAGTGCTGGGATTACAGGCATGAGCCACCATGCCTGGTCTGCCTTTTAATCTAAAATTGGTTTTGACAAATTTTGAATCTACAGACTGTAAATAATCCACCTTGACAATGGTCATGTACCAACCAAGAACACAGCATTCACAAGTCACTCCACAAGATATATTCACAAGCTCCCACCCTCTTTAAATACTCACACTTGCATGCTATCACACAAAACAGAATGCCACTGTAATTTCCCCACAAGCATCCTATACACGTGACCAAACATACATATGAGAGCACCTGTAATCCTGAATTCAAAAGCCACGTGCATCCAGAACATGCTACTTGAATAAAGAACATATTGTCACGCCTCTCCTTTTGTTTTCTTTGTGGTCTGTCTCCCTGACTGTAGTTGGCTGCAAATAGCTAGTCAGTTTTAAGTATGGAGGTGACAGCACTCCACCACAAGTTTCCCTTTGGGCACATGTGTATAACTAGGAGCGCCCAGTCCTCTCTGGGCATTCACGGCTCCACCTCTGTAAACGCCCAGCTTCTATTCCTGCTCTGTGCCTCTGCACCACTTCCTTCTTTGAAGACTCACTGACCCTGCCTCCACTCGCAATCTAAAGCTAAACTCTTCCTTTGGCCGACTTGGTCTCGGAAGAGTCTTCTTCTATTCTCTGGGAGCCCTGCTCAACCTCTCAAGACCAAACCACTCGGTCACGCAGACAAAAGCTTGTTGGAGCAAGCTTTTTAAACATGTCACTTTGTCTCTTATAGAATATTGGAATATTTGCCTCTCCGAAAATAATTTCCCTTGGCCAAGATGTGGTTTTTACATTAGGGAAAGGATGGCTGGAGATGTCCATGAAATAGCTGGCCCATCAACCAACACGGTCTAAAAGAGTTAGACGATCACAACTTCAGCCTGAAGAACATAAACAGAAGACCTCCTGGTAGAGAAGTATGTGAGGTCTTTCCTCACAAAAGGTGAAACGGTCGCATCCTCCCAATGTGACCTGAAAAGAACAGTCAGGTTTCTGATGGCTCATGGAATAGGTCTCACGAAGAATCCCCACGCAGGCCCCCTCGTGTCACCCTGGAGCTTCAGATTTTTATAAAGAAACAAACAAAATATTTTAAGAATATCACTTTCACTTCCAATCCTTTGGAACCTTGCAAGCTTTCTTCCTTAACAGCTCCCCTGAGTGAGTAAGAGTAAATTACTTGCTATCACCTTCCTTCACAACACAGCTTCAAAGCTTCCTTGGAAAGATACAGTCTTTCTTGGTATTTAACATATGGAAACAGCCACAATTTCCAAACAGCAGGAAGCTTATGCTAGGGGGTTAAGTCGCTTTAGTTTATAGACTATTTATGCCACTTGCTCACACAAAGCATTTAAAAAAATAACACAATGGCCTTGTAAGGCAGAAACATTCACTGTTCCTCTCTCAGTTGCTACTTCTCTCGCCCTGTGCTGCGCAGGGAAGAAGGCAGGAGGAAGTCTGGGACAAGGTGGAAACTGAGGCTGGAATCGGAGATGCTGCTCTGCCTTCCTCAAGGCTTCCGGGTCTTACCCCCTAGTCTCTCTGCACTGCCTCCTGTTTCAGGTGACAGCCCTAACGCCTGTTACTAGTCAACAGTCTCGACTTCTCTGCTACTTTAAGCAGAGAGAAACGGCAGTACCGCCCATGCTAACTCGGTACATGTCCCAGCTAGGGTGGGTGTTCCCAGTTGACAAGTTCACTCAGAATGAACGGGCTCTTCTTTTGTCTCCATGCTCACAGAGAAAGCCAGACACCAAAATCTGGGAAATGCTGTCACAGCCTGTGTAGAGGTATCCGAGAGAAATGGCGTGTGCAATTCCAGACAAAGAGGGCAAACATCTGATGGGACCCGGAGGACGCATTAGGAAGCAGAGACACTGAGTGACGAGAAGGGAGGTCTGAGGGAAGGAGGTGTCTGTTTTGCAAGATGTGATACACAAAGTAGAGCAGCTGAAGTGCAGGAAAGAGAGGGAACTGGTGGAGGGAATGCACGCGCACAGCATAGCTCAGGCACCCTTGACTCTGACAGCCAGCTTCTCCTCCATCCCCTTCAAGGACCACTTTCCAGAAAGGACTAGGGCCACAGCACACATGCTTCAATTCAGTCTTCTCCACTGTGGTGAAGAAATACCACTCTGAAAATAGCCGACTACAAACAATTAGAAACCCCACCCCAGCACGCAGCATCAAACATGAGACTGTCCTTACCGGAAGGTGACTAAGGGGCACGTCCACCTGGCCCAGGAAATCGTCTCGTGTCTGTTAGGAAGAGAACAAAGAGTTAGCATTTCCATCTCTTCACTGAGCGTCAGCATTTCCTAAAAATGTTTTATCACGAATAGAGACAAAGGCCCAGGGCCTGGCGCTGGAATGCGGAGGGCGGAAGGCCCCAAGAGACACAAGTAACCATGCCCCAGGAGACCAGGAGCCTGTGTGCCTGGATGGAGATTCTGTTTGGTGTCTACTACTAAGCAGAACGCTAAGGAAGCCTCTGTAGAAGTTGGGAGAACATGATGAGTCAGGGAAGAGACAGGCTGGGCCACAGAGGGTTTGAGGGCATAGCTGGGCCCAGTTGAAAGAGAAGGTGGCAAAGAAATGCTGGGAACATTTTAACAAGTGTTTATTGATCCAATGCTAAAAACTAAAGAGCTTCTTGAATGCTGAGAGTCAAGGGAAAAAGTATATGGCCTAGTTATGGATACATCTTACAAACTGCATCTCACACACAAAAAATACATACACTTTTAAAATCCAGTAAATATACTGCTTTTTAATCTAGTCAGTTGCTTGAGAATCTACATTCAAGGATCAGGTCCTGCTAATTTTTGGATACATCATGCCTCTCATGGTCCCCATCTACCATACTGCATGTATCTCTCCCGACTTAAAAGAGGCCCAGGTGAATATCATTTGGAAACACAAACTAGTCCCCTCTCAGGTTCTGGGAAATCATGATTCAGCTCCGGGGTCACTGGCCTGGACTTCAGGGTGTCCGAGAGACCATGGTCACACTATATCCCTCAGTTACGGTGCCTGTGGCATGGCCTCTGATGTTTCGATGACCCCTGAAGAAAACTGGAACATAATGACTATTTGCCGCTTTCATGTAAAAATATGCAGCTGGTTCTACCACATTCAAAACGCATAAAAGCTAGGCAGTTCTTTAGATGTGATCAGATCAGTCCCATAGCTAGCTCAAGCCACCCAAGAAGGAATCCAGACTGCCTCATGCTGAACCCTGGCCTCTTATTTCTACTCTGCTAGTTTACAGAGAAAGTTTCTAATTCACAGATGCTACTTTCCAAGTGTACTTGAGAAGCATTCTCTTCTTCCATCTAAAAGGAAGCAGCAGGTAAATATGAATGAGATTTATAGAAATGTCTTGCTCCAGGCTTAGGAATTCCTTTTAGATAACTGAAAAAATTTCATGAACCGGAAAGCCATCTGTCTCCTCTAAACAATGCATAAAGGATAATAAAAAAAAAAATAAAAAATCAAAGTTACCACAGTTTGGGTATGCATGAAGAATGAGACTAGCCCCAATCTTTTTGATGAGCTTTTCACTTCTTTTGCTTTCTTAGCTGTATCTGCTACAACTCAATGTGGAGAGACCTAGTATAACGCGTTAAGGGGAGAAGCCCATGGATTCTGTATGTCTTACCAAGGGCAGCAGTCAGCAGAAGGCCTTGAGGATAACGACAGTCCTGCTATCCAGCTCTTAGACCTGATCACGCTGGCCCAGTGACTCACACCAATGACAATTAAATAAGGAGTTAGACAGTGTGCCTGTCTGTTCTCTATTTGGCTGATTTCACTATTTTTTTTTTTGAGACAGAGTCTTGCTCTCTTGCCCAGGCTGGAGTGCAGTGGTACGATCTGGGCTCACTACAATCTCAGCCTCCCAGGTTCAAGTGATTCTCCTGCCTCAGTCTCCTGAGTAATTGGGATGACAGGCATGAGCCACCACGTCGAGCTAATTTTTGTATTTTTAGCAGAGATGGGGTTTCACCACGTTAGCCAGGCTAGTCTTGAACTCCTCCCCCTCCAATGATCCATCTGCCTTCGCCTCCCAAAGTGCTAGGATTACAGGCATGAGTCACCACGCTTGGCCTGATTTTGCTATAATTTTAGAGCTAATATAAATATCAGTTAACTGTAATATAAGGAAATTCACTGAATATTGACAATAAATTGTCTGCTTAATGTGAGCAGAGCAGTGTGGCCACTTGCCCCCTTCTCCTCCTCCTCCTTCTCCTCCTGCTACGGCTGCTAACATGGGAAGGAAAAGACAGTCATCAGAAGGATAAGACAATCTTTTTTTTTTTGAGACAGAGTCTCACTCTTGTTACCCAGGCTGGAGTGCAATGGCGCGATCTCGGCTCACCGCAACCTCCATCTCCTGGGTTCAGGCAATTCTCCTGCCTCAGCCTCCTGAGTAGCTGGGATTACAGGCATGTGCTACCATGCCCAGCTAATTTTTTGTATTTTTAGTAGAGACGGGGTTTCACCATGTTGACCAGGATAGTCTCGATCTCTTGACCTCGTGATCCATCCGCCTCGGCCTCCCAAAGTGCTGGGATTACAGGCTTGAGCCACCGCGCCCGGCCTGGATAAGACAATCTTACTCAAAGTTGTTTCATAACCTGATAGCTCTGAAAGGCTACCCATGAATCATTAACCTAAGTGCATTTCAACAAAACTTCACAAAATACCTACATCCCCCTGTTGTTTTGCCAGGGAGATGTTTGCATTCTAAACTGATAAAACAGGTTAAAGCTTTGCCCAGACACCAAAAGACAGGCACCCAGTACTAATGGCTGGCAGCCGGTCTTTACATAGTGCTCATTCTCTGTGGGCTCTGTGCCAAGGCTGTGACTAGTCCTCAAAGCAACCTTCAGAGGTACAATGATTGTGCCCATTTTACAGATGGGAAACCTGAGGGGGTGTGTGGCCGAGGTGCCCTTAACTGACACTGTGTGCCGCATGTTGGCAACTGGCAGGAAAGCAAGATGGTGCCAGCTCTGGGCTTCCCACTGGTTGCTGGTTTTAAATGGTGCAGAGGAGAAGGGAGGGATTCTGATGAGGGCACAGTCGGATGAGACTTCAGAGGGTTCTGGCAAAATGCTTGCTTGCTCCATTATCTTTACACTACCTCCTACTCCAACTGTTCCTTTCCTTAAATGGAACACAGTTTACCGAATTCCCTGAGGTACTGCAAAGCCAGGAAACTTCACTTATACCTTACCACGTGTTCTCATTATGTTAAAAAAAAATTCTACAACAGTAAAAGATGAGGCAATTTCACCATTAACAAAAACAGAAAGCTCTTATTAGTTTACGTGAAGAGAGATGGAAATTGTTTTTGAAATAAAATAGGGATCAAGTACAGAAAAGCAGATGGTCAAAATCAATTGGCTTAAACTAGTGTTTCACCAGTCAATGGAAGTTGTAGTTGGTTGAGAGAACTAGGTATCAAAACATCCCATTCTTGCCAAAATTACAGAAAGTCGGGCAATGTAAAATATTTAGGTTAAGGAAACTACACCAATCAAAGACAAAAATGGCTTATGCCTGTAATCCCAGCCACTTTGGAAGGCTGAGGCAGGTGGATCACCTGAAGTCAGGAATTCAAGAGCACTCTGTCCAATATGGCGGAACCCTGTCTCTACTAACAATACAAAAATTAGCCAGGCGTGGTGGCTTGCACCTGTAGTTCCAGCTACTTGGGAGGTTGAGGGAGGAGAACTGCTTAAACCGGGAGGCAGGGCTTGCAGTGAGCTGAGATTGCATAACTTGTATTCCAGCCTAGGCAACAGAGCAAGACTCCATCTCAAAACAAAGCTGGTGCCTTTATGTGGAGGGGAGGAGCAGGTACGTTGAAGAAACACCTCTGATTGATGGTAAGAGGAACTGGGAGGTGTGCTAGCGTGCAGGATCCTGCCTGTGGGCCCTAGAGGGGCCATCACAGCACCATTAGGTCATCGCCACCACCGTGCAACATCTCATACCAACATTACAAAAGCATTCATCAAATCAATTTTTAATGATTTCCAATACAAAATTATTTCCAGCAAGCATCAAGTTACAAAACCAAATTAACTTCATCTCATACAGTGAGTACTGGTATTTCTTGTGGTTACTTTTAAGTGGTAAAATGCCTAATAGCCTACAAAACCAAATTAACTTCAACGCATAAGATGAATACTGGTATTTCTCATGGTTACTTTTAAGTGGTAAAATGCTGTCAATTTTCATGCCATTACCACCTGCCACACAATTCTCAAGGCTGAAAATACGCCTTTTAGCAACAAAATAATAAATGTTCCCTTCTAATGAGCCATCAAATATTTTCCCAGTGAAATTACAATGTAGAATGGAGCCCCTGAAATATGTCCTATCAGGTGAAACAAAAATTCATACTCCATTATTGGAAAAGTTAAATAAATAAACACATTAAACACTGTCTCTTTTAGCACTTACGCAGTAAATACTGATGAACTACATTCAGGATTGCCTTCCTCCCCTTTAAAAACCATTATTAAGCAAGAAGAAAGGGACAAGTGGGTGCCCTGTTCATGCAGAGGGGTATGCTGCTACCAGGGGTGGATGCTACCGTAACGTGAAGCTGGGGGCTATTACCATTGCTCCAGTGAAAGCGAATATAGTCTGTGAGCCTCTCCCCAGATGCATGTGCATGCCAGGTCAGAGCTGTCAGCACTGACGTGGACGCCTGGCTTAGATGTCCTTACAAAATACTCAAGACTCAATTTCTCAAAGAACACATTCATAAAAAAACAAAAACAAAAACACAGGGACTCTTGATCTTTAGGGTAGAACTGTACTTGAAGGATGTGATTAGAATCTTACTGCACACCAATAACCACCCCACCCTATTCCTTTCAAGACAGAGGTGGTGGTAACAGGGCTGGGTGCACAATGAAATTCACACAGAAGCTCAAAGGCAGAGCATCGGACTGTGCAGAAAGAAAAGCATTAAAGGAAGGAAGCGCCACCCACAGGTCACACTGGAGTCCTAAAGACCCCCATCTAGGGGCACAGGGGGCTGAGGCTGCAAGGAGCTATGATGGTGCCACTACACTCCAGCTGGGGCAACAGAGCAAAAGAACTGGTGATTCTTGGTAAAATGACCCATGTGTAATCCTGGAGCTATGTATCAAGGTAATAGTTTTTAAGTTGTGAGTTACAATTTTTTAAGTTGAGCATAATATAGAACAGAAAGTATCAGTGCCTCACATAAA